AGAACAAGTACATTATACACATTCATAGATTATGATATAACTGCTTTCTTCTACTTGTATTATTATTATTATTATTCTATTATTATTTTATTTGTAGGTTTATAATGGCAGTAATCCTTGTGTGTCTTGTGGTTCTGATATGACACAAAGTAAGAGTTCATCACATTGGGAAGGAGGTCAAGGCTGCCGTAACAAAGTGAAGATGAGCAGGTACTAATGATACTAGTAATAGTACATTATGTAACATGTAGTAACACATACATGTATGATTTATTGCTGTGTTTTATTTTAATGCTTTTATGTTGGCGCTTTTGTTGTTTTGTATATTAGGAATGATAGACAGAAATATGTAAATTCAGAGAAGAAGACGGTGTCAATGAAAAATGAAAGAGTTGGAGTGAAAGGAAAGAACAATATAGACCAGAAGAGTGGAACATTACGTAGCTAGATTTAAACATATAATACAGTAATAAAAATTTAAATGTGGCACAAAAATCAGCATTAATAGAAAAGGAAAAGGTGACTGAGGATAACTATGGGTCAATATTAATATTAAAATCAAATCCCAGTTCATTTCTAATAGCTTCAATCCAGTCCTCATCTAAAGCTATTGCTGCATCAGCATAACTGCCTCTTACAGCAATGAATGAACTTAAGAACTTTTGACAGTGCTCCTGCACTTGAGGTAACTTCCTCTTAGACTTAAAGGGTAACTTCAGTGCATTTTTGAGATATTTTTTTTATTTGCTTAATATGATTGCCTAACCATACTAATGATGGGTTCCAACTCCCATTGTCTGAAAAAAATTATTCACTGAAATATGAGCCTTCAAAAATGCCCATTTTTCCTTCCTGCCAGGTTACTTCCTGTCGGTGGGTGTGGCTAAACGTGACGTCACTAGAGGGATAGCTGCAGCTTAATCCATTCCTTTATAGGGGGAAATAATCCTTTATTCTCATGGCTTGTCATGTAATAGCACAAATTTAAAGATTAGAATCATTAGCTTTCATTATTCTAAGCATGGAACTGCAAGAAAAAGTCATAATACCACACTTTGGTGAATCTTCTTGTTAGCTATTTTGTGTACTTTTCTTGCAGTTTTATGCTTAGAATTATGAAAGCTAATGGCCCTAATTTTAAAAATAGTGTTATTACATTACAAGGCATGAGAATAAAGGATTATTTCCCCCTACAAAGGAATGGATTTAGCTACAGCTATCCCTCCAGTGACGTCACGTTTAGCCACACCCACTGACAGGAAGTAACCTGGCAGAAAGGCAAAATGGGCATTTTTGAAGGCTCATATCTCAGTGAATAAATTTTTTCAGACAATGGGAGTTGGAACACATCATTAGTATGGTCAGGCAATCATATTAAGCAAATAAAAAAAATTCATCAAAAATGCACTGAAGTTACCCTTTAAGACTAGCCTTGAACTCATCAATGCACTTCTTTATTGAAGGCTTGTCTTTAATAGCATTATTGACCAAACGAAGAGCAAATAATTGATTGGCAAGATCAGGGACAGCTTCCATTGGTAGTGAAGTAAGATCAGCATAATGAGTTACAAGAACATCATTGATCACTTTCTTTACTTTATAGACATCAACAGTAGCTGATGCACCTAATAGAGGTCAAAGGTCGATACAACCCAATACACAAACCATGCATGAACACACAGTATTATCACTTACTAGCTCCTCCAGTGGATGATACTGACGTTGATTCATGTACTATAATAGAGGAGGAGGTAGTAGGATCTGATTAATTTTAAATAAATAAAATAATGAATAACTTTTAATCATTAAATATTACCTGTTCAAGGAGGAGGAGGATTTCTCTGTAGTGATCTGTGGATATATAATGAAACAGGATCAGCCACACCTTCCAGTGGTATGGAGTAATGTAGTGTAGGGACAGCATCAGGTGAACCGAGAACGGATATCAAGCAAGATGGAGGAAGGGGATAATTAGCTTCACCAAATCTGTTAACATCACAACGTTGTAACTATTAAGAGATAAAAATGTACAGTGTCAACTAGTATACGCAACTTACCCGACATGGTTTCATTTGAGGTTTAATACTCTAGCCAGTCAATGGCTCATTTTGTGGAGTATCAAACTTTAGCTCAATGCATCCATCATTATCTTTGAAATGAAAATAAACATGCTGTTCTCTTTCAGCTCCAACTGAACATTATTGTAGTGACTGAATGGAGAGAGCTTGACCTTCGTATTTTGTAAATATTGACTCATTGTAAAAAGGCTAAAATCTCTTCTGACAAAAATGAAAAGAGCATACACTTATACAAACAGTATTACATCATATTACATCACAATGACAAAACATTACACGACAATCAGGATCAGTATACATGAACTAATAAGCATAGTAAATCATAAGCATAAGAGCTACAAGAAAAGAAATAATATCGTACAGCAATGCAAGAATAATAATAATTAATAATAGTAATAATAATAATTGCAATAACAATAATAATAATACTAGAAATGCCTTAGAAAATAATAATAGGAATGAATACCAAAATAATATATCAATATATAACAATTATAATTGATAAAATTGAAGAGATTATACAAAATACAAAGTCAGCTTAAAATTTGGGCGATGAATGATTTAAAAAGCATTATAAAAGACATGTAAATCTATACTTCACATTTAATTTTAAAATCAAATTCCAGTTCATTTCTAATAGCTTCAATCCAGTCCTCATGTAAAGCTATTGCTGCATCAGCACAACTGCCTCTTACAGCAATGAATGAATCTAAGAACTTTTGACAGTGCTCCTCCACTTGAGGCAACTTCCTTTTAAAACTAAGACTAGCCTTAAACTCCATAATAAATCGTTCCATTGAGCAGGTATCTCTAACTTTTTCACTAATGAGATGAACTGCATATAACTTATTGGCAAGATCTGAGACAGCATCCTTAGGTAGAGAAGTGAGATCATCATAATGAGATACAATGGCATCATTAATGACTTTCTTAACTTTCTTAACATCAGCAGTAACTGGTGCATCTAAAATAGGTTAAAGGTCATGCAGTATTTTACAAGCACTTACTAGCTCCTCTAGTGGATAATGCAGTAGCTTCAGTAATTGTATTAGAAGAGGAGGAGGAGGTAGTAGGATCTGGTTAATATTAAATAAATAAACAATTGAAATGATTTATCTATTACATGTTGAAGGAGGAACAGGAACAGTGAGATTTCTTCGTGCTCTATGAATGTTTAATGAAACTGGATGAGCCACACCTTCCAGTGGTATGAAGTAATTAAGAAAAGGGACGGCATCAGGTGATCCATAAACTGATATGAGACAACGTGAAGGATAACATTGTTCTTTGTCACCAAATTTATCAATAGCCTCTTGATACAACTGTATAACAGAATATGGCTTACATGTAGTATTATAAAATAACAATTAGCTTACTCTACAAGGATCAGTGTGAGGAGTGAGTGTCCATCCAGTGAATGGTTTCTTTTGAGGTGAAGTGAAGTTTAATTCAACATAATCATAAGGAAACTTAAAGCTAAAGGAAATATCTGGTCCAGTCCTAGCTTGAGAGTGTTTCCGCTCAATAGACTATCATATAATATAATAAACACATTGTGTGCATAGGAAAACATATACATGAATGAGTGCTTCCAAATTCTTAGCTGCAGTGAATGTCGCCAGATCCTCTACACCATCTTCTTCATAATAAACCAAACCAGCATATGTTACAGCCTTCTTTACACCAGTGGACTGTGCTTCTATAATATTATTAGCAAATAGCAATGGAGTGTGTTCATGTACTTACTGTTAGCATGATCAGTGTTTGGTGTAGTAGTAGTGCCAGCAACAGACACTGTATTGGTTGGGAAGTTAGTCTCTTTAGTAGTAGACTCTATTCAGTAGTGGAATACATTACATTATCATCAATAGACTCACTAACTAACCTTTACATGCTCCACTAGACCCTAGTCCAGTACTGCTGGTATCAACATCACTGTCACTACCCTCTCCTTCTCCCTCATCTTGTTCCTCCTCCTGACCCTCATTTTCTCCATTAGTTGAGTCTTCCCCCAGAATACAAACCAAACAGAACTTATTACGTTGAATGGATCCATACCCACTATTAGAGCTAAACTCTCCTCCCTCAACTATTGAGAATCGGTAAGGAAGACTGGGTGTGCTCATGGGAGCTATAGCAAACTTTAAGTATTGTGCAAGATCTGGTTGTCCTGTTAAATCAACGCAGTGCTGTATCTCTAACTTGAGTCGTTTCAGGAGAGGCTTTGAGAGTGATACTGCATACACAGCACTCACTAGGACAGTATTAGGAGGAAACTCGAACTGTCCTCCTACAAGAGCAACCACTGCTGCTTCTACTGTCTCAGAGGACAATAGGCTTCCTTCTTGTACTCCAATCCTTAGACCATATTTCTCCCAATTCATCAGTTGAGGTTTGTCTCCTTGAATTAAGAACAGCTTCTTCTCTGCTACCTGGATATCACTCAGACATTCCAAATTATCTGCAACAGGTACAGTAAAGTAAAATAATGAATTGATATCTTAAATTAAACTTACCCATTAAGGGGATCATGTAGTTAAATTGTACACAAACAGAATTAGTTCCTTTGATGCTAAATTGATCATGTTCATGTAGAGTGACATCTGTCTTCTCTTTCTTTACAATCACTTGGTCTTCTACACATAAAATGATAATGTGCATCAATTTAATGCATGATACACTAAACAACTCGTAAAAAAGGTTAACATGATGACATGATACGTTAAAAACTGGTATTTGAAAGAGTAGGAGAAACGAAACCAGAAACGGGAAGAAACACCAAAACGGCAATCTCACAATTTAATTTAATTTTTGTTAGGAGTCCCACCTAATTTTGTTTCTGTTGTGTAAATCTGCTTTCTTTCTGTTTCTGGTTTTGTTTCATTTCAGTATACTTTTACTACTATACTCATTAAAAACAGCATGTTTACCAGATGACCTAAATGAATCTGTTTATCTTTAATATCCCGATCCTCCAGTTCAATGACTTTAGCTCCATACACTGAAACTACATAAATATAATAATTGTTTTAGCTTATGAAAATAATTATAAAGAAAATTAAAATAAACCTATGCAAGCCACATACATTACATGTAACTATGATCTAACTTGAGGCCAATTTACACTGCAAAATTAACATAGGATAAGGCTATACGTTAAGACAGGAAGTGCTGTATAAACTATAAACCAATGGCCACCGTTTATATAACGTAAAACCAGGTACACAATATGAGCCTTGCAACCGGAAGTGCTGTACAAACCAATGGCATGCATGTCAATAAATAGTAATTCACTATTAGATTTATTAAATTAATAATAAAAATGAGTTACATGTAGACGTCAAACTTTTTAGCAAATAAAGTCAAAAATATGTTTAATTTGTGTTTTGTAATTGTTTGTCAGGTTTAATTTGACAAATGTTTGTTTATAAGCTAGTTTTCGTTGTTTACACAACAATGACAGATAATGTAACAACAAAAAAGTATTGTCAATATTATTATAGGTCATAATCCAGCCATTTCATGATGAAAATTTAAACTTAATATAAAAAAGATAAGATAATAATCGGCAAAATTATGCTCCGGAAAATAGGTAACGGGATGGGATGTTCCATCCTGTAAATTAGTGAGTGATCCACGGAGCTGTCCTGTCCCGTCCTGTAAAATAGTGACCACCCGCAAGAGTTGAACTTTGGTCAATTCATCCATTAACTCGCAGTGTTTGTACAGCTCCGGTACACTTCCTGTCGCAACAAATTATCTCTACTCTTACGCTATGTAAAAGGTGGCAATTGGTTTATACAGTACTTCCTGTCTTCACGTATAGCCTTACCTTACGTTAATCTTGTAGTGCAAATCGACCCTTACTTTTAGTGACTGGCACTAACTGCTTCTTAATTTCCTGCAGTTGTGATTCAAGTCTTTGTATTATTTCATCTTTTTCCATAAGAGCAGCAGCAGTAGAAACTAAACAAGCAATGAAGATAAACAAGCAATGAAGCAATGTACAATACAAACTGTGTGCATGTACTGTATATAATTTAACAGAATTATATTTACATGTAGGTGATACATGTACATGTAGATATGAACTTTAAAGCAATGGACTAGTTCATGTAATAAAGATAGTGATTGAGTCTCACATAGTGCTTCCTGAAGTGATTGGTTGTTATGATGTAAAGACTCATTCATAACTTGAAACTCTTTCACTTTATCTGTCATGTATATATATTTTTCAATCAACTCCCTTCTTCTTTCTTTTAGTGTTTGTTCATACAATAAAGGAATATTAAATGAATCTAATACTAGACCCACTGACCATTGACCATCATTAAAAACTGAGGGAGAGAGGGAGAAGAAAAATGAGTTAGTGATTGTGAGTGAGGGAGATAAAGGATTAAAAGAATGACAAACTTATGTTAGGAAAATGTATCATTCTACAGAAACAATTTTTCTATTATGCGTATTTGTGGTATTATTGATTATTCTTTCCATGAAGTTTGCCTACAGTTTGGGTGGATGAGCATATGTACATGTATATGACACAAAACTTTTCTGATATGAATTCAGTAATAATAATATAATATTACATAATTAAT